CAAGGCTGTTTCACTTAAAAATTCAGTGATATATTCGAAATATATATTTGTTGAAACAAATAGGATTACGCAAAATTCTGCTATTCGGGGATGCGACAAGTTTAATGTTTTGTATTCGCCAACAAAATGTTATTGCTTGAGCCTTATTTAAGTTGTTCGAGAATACCGACATAGAATACATGGTTAAGTATACGTTACAGAGTTAGGGTTGGGAAACTTGTATGAACATTTCTCATTTTCGTGTCGCATTAATGGGTAATGTAAAATGTATAAACTCGTCAAGTAAGAATTGCTCATATGATATGACCTGGGAGTAGCAAGCCTGATTGATTTTAGCGTTCACGTTGGTTTGAATATTTCCCTGGCGAATTTGTATACCCCTGCTAGATGTTGTGAATTGTGCAGCGTTAGTGTTAGTCCACCTTAATGTATGTCAGTCTATATACATGCGTAGGACAATCACCTAGCAACGTACTGCCTAATGTAAACCGATTGAGGCCTTTTAATAAAATGCCTGACATTATAAATAAATAAATGAATAGTAACAACTACCACGTATGATCAGCTGAATTTTCCAACAATCGAGTTCATTCCATAAATAATAAAGCATAAATAATCAATCTTGTGACAGAAATATTGAATTTGTAATTTCATCTTTCCTAATAAGTATATGAATTGACCTAATTCAATTCAATGTCATTCAAATGAAAATGTGGAATGTGTGACCATCTTTGGAATGAAAAATAATGTACGTAGGAAATCATGACATATGAATAAAAATAGTATAATCTGTACGTCCGCTCGACTGGTGTGCAGTTCTGTTTATCTGTTGTATTTCATTCTTTGTCATGTATTACCACATGACTAGTTGTCAATCATGATTAACATTGTATGGCTTTGTTTTTATAAAAGGATATATGTTTATCTATAACACCAGATGGCTACGTAACGCATTCGCATATTAGGCATGAATAAAAGGTGGCCAGACATACGGGCTGTAAGGGCTGTAACAATCCGTCATAATAGTATACCAGTCAGAAATGTGTTTTAGGTTATTTTATGTCTGTACGCACACAAAAAAGAAAAATACAATTAACCTATTTAGAAAACGCACATTAATTTAACATAAACCAAAACACGGTACACCGATACCCATGTACGTATCTAAGCAATATTCCTAGTTATTAAAATAAAGTGAATTTACAAGTCCCAGAAAATGAAGCAAATAACAGTCGACACATGCAGAGAAATCTGTTTCTAGTGACGAATCACTCGTTCAATTAAACCGATTTCAGACTGCCACTCATCGGAGATCATATTTATCTCATATTTTTGTTTAGCAGCCATTTATCGCTTTAATCCGGAATCGTAACTTGTGTGCGCATCGAGTTCCATATTATTCCATTTGACTCATACCATCATTATCTATATGTACCCCCCCAAAAAAACCCTGAATGAGGCCTATAAATTATGTTGTTGAAACCCCAATATGTTCGGTAAGTGGTGGTCAGACGAAACTTGGAAATTTAGTTTTTGTTTCGTTTTTTCATGCTTGCGCCATGAGTCAATTCTCAGGCATGCTTAGACACATCGAATTCAAACATAACGACCACTTGATGATTTATAAAAGCACATAGACGTTTACTTCTGGCTATCTTGGACTTCAGATTTGCTAAATTATGATACATAAACATATCTGGAGGAATTCATTCAGGGCGGCGATTTCATTCAAACGTCGTATTTTGTTCGAGATTTCAACAAAAATAGTTGAATGGTGGCCATTTTGTTTTTATTTTATTCAAACCTTATATAAGGGTCGTGCAAGTTAAAGTCAACCTATAAGCTTTACCAATCGGTCTATGGCCATATACACTGGTTGCATAATGCGATATTTAGTGTTTAAATTAGCGATCAGTTGGGAAGTAGTCAATACTTTGAAACTATATGAGCAAAATATTATGAAAACAACAAATATAAAATAATTATTTAACAACAATATAAAGTGACTGTCAGTCATAATTTATATTTTTTCAGTCTATATGCATGAATTTGAAATAAAAGGAGGAGGTTGTTTCTATAGGAACTAATAATAAAATAATGTTTCAAATTGATACACTGTTTCTAATCAAAATTTTTCGAAAAATAATATGTTGATCTATGCGTACCCAACCGTAGATTGATAACAAAAGTCACACAAATGCAGGACAACAATTGATAAAATAATCAACAGGAACAACAAATCAACTGACAAGTTCACTACACTATATAGGCAAATTAGTACATTTTATGAAATACATGGTGTACATGTCAAATGTTTTTAAAATGAGTGAGCACATTCTGCTCAAGATCACAAGTCACGATAAAGTGGTTTATGTACAAAACCTTGTGAAGTTCAATGCCTTCATATATTCATATTTGAAACACAAACTGTAAGTAATACTTCATTATGATCATACAGTTAGACAGATGAAGTAACAGTCAACGCCACACACGAAATGTAATGTAACACAAGTTCAGACCAACAACGATAAGTCAGATTAAGATTGGTCATTTGTTTTCTTTATTTAACACCCTAAAATAAGGTGCCGGCATTACCATCCTGCATATGTAGGATAAGAACACATGATATGGTTTGATAACTGTTCTCGTGTAACCTTGTAATTTAGTATTTGTCATATTATAGATGTTTTCGCAACTGTGACTGGTGACATATGGCGGATATTCTACATCATGCCCAGTGCATCATAAATAATCTAAAGCTACTTGTTCACAGTTTGAACACCCTTATCTGACGCAGGACTATTTATGCACGATAGCATACCACACATATCATTTCAATTAACGAGCTTGTGCTGCGCGTATCTTATCATTATACTTGTATTTTCACCATGCGGCTACACGTATTATTTGTAGCTACAATATGTCTCTTCGTTGCATCTTTGAATCAGGCAGAAGCTAAATCTTTGGAAGCAAGACAAGATTCAACAATAGAAGATCTTCAACCTGATGAAAATGTAAGTATGCTTATATGATAATCTTCATGTACATGCCCATTATAAAACTCGAATTAAGAAAGTAATGTGAAATAGTTTGTATGATTTGGTAATGTTTCCCATATAACTACTAATGTGTTGAAAAGTACCGTGTATCTGTATATTTTCTGTAAACATCTATACCACGGCGACAAGCAATCACAGAATTTGACATTACATTTTGTGTTTATTTTACTCACTGGCAATGTTCAAGAAGTTGTGCAATCTATTTGTTTTTTATACTTACTTTTATTCCTGTTTTATACACATTTTTGTCTCATATTCTTGGCGGCATATGATTAGTGTATCGCCCAACAACAATGAGACTCCATGATCGGCTGTACACACATCGTGGGAAAAACATTCTGCCCGATTGTCAGGCTCGCGGCAATCGTATTTTGGTGAATGGCGCTTATCGGAGACGGGATTAAAAACTGTAGGTCTTATGTACAGTGCAGGTAAAATATCTAGGAATTTTAACGCGCATATTTCTCTCAATGCATGTGTATTCTTGAGTTATGATGGCCGGAGTCTGTGAATGTGTCCCGTGTCTGTTGAAATTTCCCCATACGACTTTCGTTTAAAAAAATAATCTAGAATGTATGTTATTTCCACTAATATATATGCATGCTTACTAACTTTTGAAGGATCATTTTCCCCTGAATGTCACTATAAAGGGAACAAAATTATCTGGTAGTTGTAACTTAGACATAAAAATCAATCTAATTTGTTTTACCCTGAGAGCTCAGCGCCAAATAATGCGTTTAACATGCATCAACGCGATTAGTAAGAGGTGAAGATTATACAATTATGCACTGCATACACCACATCTAGATTTGTAATGAACATGTGACACGATTCCACACTTGTCACATGTATAAAACAACACTTCTCTAATGTTACAAAAATTGTATGGTGAATGAAGGCCAAGGACTAACTAGTGTGTATGAAGGTATATTCTGTATCTGCCATTTCCTGCTGTGCAGCTTAACAGTTTGATAGAGTTGGTTGCACCAGTGAATTTTATGGAGCCAGTTACTAGAGTTCACGAATTGAAGGGTCGAACTATACCGTAGCACCGTTTGTCACCAAACGTTTCAGAATTTGATGTTAAATGCCGGATTCAGCTAGGGTAGTACAACATTTCGAGCAGCAACACTCTAAAATATGCTGTCTGAAATACCACAAAACACTGTATCAATCATAAATTGGTCTACAACACCTATTCATTCCTCACCTGGATACTCATCCAGTGAGGTCCAGTAGTAAAATATAAAACCAATCACTGATTGTGGGAAGTTATCTGCTTATACTCTGATAATAATTTAATACATTACTATACCTCTTGTGTACAGGCGGTAATTCATTTCTTATACTATGATCCAGTTGGTGTGGTAGTTCGTTGTCCCTCAATACAGCGCAGCCCTGTCATACATATTATCTAACAATCTGTATCCCGGCATGGTGCTGCCTAAACTATCAAAATTGCACTGACTTTACACTATTTCTTTGCAACGAATTTGGGCAGATTATAGTGTAGCTTGTTTCGCGTCATCAGTGTGTCACAGGTTGCACAACAAATCCTACAATTGATATCTATTCCACCCCAAATCCCAGTCATATAACTGTCTAAATGGCATAACTTTACAAATACAATTCAGAATATTTTCGAGCACCAAATCTGTTGAGAGCACTGTGACATATTTTTGTCTGTTTCATCTAATCCATCTAACTGTCTTGACTTTATTCTAAATATCCTCATCACTGGACCTGGTTTGTACGTCTCTCTTGGTAAATTATACTAGCAAAACTCCTCCTGGCCTAAATACTATGGCATTATTCCTCCTCTGTTGTCATACCTCTTCAATGATCGTTGTAAAGTGGCCTTCACCACCACATCTGCAACAACCTAAGACTACTTTCATCTGGTTTTCTCTGTCTATTCTTTAATGCTGCTAACGCCTGGCCAACTGGTCCAAAATGCTAGTCTAATTTGCAATCTTGTAAGACTGACAGCTTATTTTGCAAGGCACGGTTCTCAAAATGAAATTTGTCTTACCTTGAGGTTTTGCATATAAATAAGCATTGATTTTTGCCCCGCCTTCTCTCTTCTTCTCTTCGTCGATGGTTCAAATATTTGTCATGGGTTTGCATACCTGGCTTCACTATTTAACCTTCTGTTTTATGCGATTACATAACTGGTACATCCACCAACCATCCATTGAAGAAGATCTGGTCCTCTGATGATAATTGACTCCTACATATGGCAATGGCTCAGGAGGAAAGTTCTGCTTAATGATCTCCTTCATTTTTTTCTGTCTAGTTCAGGATGACCACGTTGCTGTTTCCGTCTTATATAGTTGAACCAACTGCTTCCATGGAGTTTCATATTATACTGTCATTTACTGTTGGACCAGAAGCTCGCTTGTCAGGATATTTTTTTAACCACTCTATCTTCTATGCTATATTTGCTCTGCGTGTCTTTTATAATCTCTACCTGCAATGTGTCTGTTTGCTTATACATAATTCACTGTGAAGCAATACACCAGTCATAACCCCACCATAAGCCACCAATGCAACATAATTCAGACAATGAAAATGTTTAGAAATCTCTGAATTAGGTCTTGGTGTTTTATGTGGCGTGATTACTAAACTGCCGTGTATAAAAATGTCAAGAGGTAGGATGTTAGGTTGGAAAATGAATTGTGTGAATAATTACCTGATATTATTTACATTTACATGGTGTATCGAGATACTACGGAATGCAATTGCCATCGAATTCAAACTCGTTTTCAAGTTCTAATATTTATATTCCAGTAATGTAATACAGTAATTACACTGTAATACAGTAATTACACTGCACTACAGTAATTACGCTGGGCAAAAAGTGCAATTATTGTTTTCATACTGATACATTTGTTTTCAGGTAACTATTATTCCTTTAATCGAAGCAATAGGCAATCCTTCTAAGCGATATAATATGGTTCCCTATGGTAATTATTATTATTATTATTATTATTATTATTATTATTATTATTATTATTATTATTATTATTATTATTATTATTATTATTATTATTATTATTTACACTTTTATGTACACTTTTAGATAGGAATGCAATCACTATTATATAATGATGACATCACTATGGTACCCATTAATATGTTTACCTTCAATTGACATGCAACCAGTACTATAATGAAGGGCACTAGATATGTTTAACAAACAGATGACGACTTATGGTCATGTGACCTGTAAAAGATGTAATCTAATCATATGCATAACTACATAATATAAAGCACTATATGCAATATGTTATATGTTTTCAGTGCTTTAAAATTACGTTTTAGCAGTCATTTACCATCATAAATGTGTTCAGATAAATAACCTCCTGAAAAATTTTAATTGTTAGAAAAAATACGACCGAGGCCATGCTGCAAATTATTGTTATCATTTATTCAATGTATGGAAAGATGTGTAATGTGCACACACATAAGGACCGACAGGAGAAATTACACATTTTAACATGAGAGAGCTGTTTTCATTGAAATATAATTATATGAATACTAACACTCTCATTCGAATTAATTATTGTAACTTTCAATAATTGTTCATAATTTTTTAACGAATTTTAAAACAGTTTAGTGAATATAAAGGAAAAAAAGTTGTGTACTCGATATACACTGGGCACTCAAAGTGACAGAAAATTTGCGAAAAATAAAGTGTCACAAAAATAAGCCTG